AGAACTGAAGGCCTCCACTTCAAGTTAAAAAGTCAACATCCTCTGAAAACAATAAATAAAAGATTTCGTTTGCACGTTGCTGGACTGTAAATGTACGTGATGAGTTGGATAGATCTGTCATACAGGGCTTGCAGCTCGGTTATTTTGTGTGCCCTCAGCTCGGACTTCAGGGGATAACTTTGATCAAAAGAGCTGTGCTTTGTTTCGTAGTCGTGCTTCACGCTGCCACTTTTAATTAATGCCACGTTTTCAAAGCATATGAGGCCACTGGTTGTGAACTGCCTGACGGAAGAATGAACATACATTTCTCTGTCCACTCATCTTCAAAGCAGCGGTTTCCTTCATCAACCTTCCTTCTTTTGGAGCAAGCCATGCTGTCATCACTGTCTCTTCCTCTCTGCTCTGCTGTATAGGCAAGCGCAAAGTGGCAGCAGCAGCAGCAGCAGCAGCTGAGAGCTGTGGTGGTGCGCTGGCCGTGCAGGGTAGCCAAATGATTTGATTGGCTCGACTGAGTGGCCGTATTAATTGGAGTAGCAGTGCCTGCTGTCTATAGCCGCTACCGTTGGAAAAAATGCTCCATGAAAATCTATTCTTGTGAATTTATCAGAGATTGGTCACGGGTCCGGACAGAACCATCACTCAGTTCGCATTTGGTGATGCCTGGTATAGACCATACAAATTTAAACAGAGAAGCCAACAATCCAAAGTAGCCTTTGGACTCTCTCTGAGCAGGCGGTTGGCAATGATGGGAAGGAACCAAACCCCCCCCAAGGGAGGGGGAAAAAACCTCCGGCAGAACCTGGCTCAGGGAAGACGGCCATCTGCCTCGACCGGTTGGGTGAGAGAGGGGATGAGGGGGGTGGGGAAAACAGGATGACATGATACATGTTATATTATGTATCTCAGTATTGTACTATTGTTTTCTTTAGAGTCATATATATATATATATATCTTACTATGTTTAGCATATTTGTTTTTGTTTTTTAAATTTCATATAGCCATGCATTTCTATCTTGTCATATATAGTATTGGTGAAGACTTGCTATTCAACTGTAAAAAGTAGACTGTGAGTCAAAGCGAATAATGGAAACACAGCAGCTCTCCAGCTCCCTAAAACTTCAAAGCAAGTGGCATAGGTAAGGTGATGGTTTCAGGGTTTAGGACAGTGAAGGATTTCTCATGACTGATTGATCGAGGGTCAAACCGTTAATGGAGACTACTATGAATCAGAATTGTGACAACTAAAAGAGACAATCAAAGGAAAAAGGAGAGGAATGCTTGGAGCTGCCAGGCTGTTGTCACAGATTGCAGAAGCAGCTGAATGTGGGTTTGAACTGTTGCCCCCAAACTGAAATCCCACTTGTGTAGTCTTCCACAAAGGGATATTGAA